TAATCACTTTAAAACCAGTTATTTGGCTCATACCCTTGTATGTAGTGGCTTCTGATGTTCTTTATCTGTTAGTTGTATTATTTTAGAAATCCAGGAGAGAGGTCTTTATGGGTAATGCTTTAATATAATAATTAATTATATAAGCTGTCCTTCATGAAGTTCTTAATACATGCCACACATTTTGCTGGAATACGTACACATGTGTATATATATAATTTCCCATCCCTTCAGAATACTTAAGGGATCACAATTTACAGGTAAAGAAACAGATTCTGATATGGGAATGAGCCTGATTAAAATCATTGATAGTAAATTATGGAAGCTCATCTAACTCCAGATCCTTTCTCTTACCCCTTGACCATATTTCTCTACTTCAAGAGATCTGGTGGTAATCACTAAACTGATTAACATTGGTTAAGACCAATGTTCCAAAATAGTTAGATTTTTTTTTTTTCTTCAGGCTCATTTAAATATTAAGTAAATAGCAAGTAATCCAAAGTCACTATAGAATTGACTAACACCAGAAACTTGGTAATCAGTTTCAGAGTAGGATTCATACTTTCATGGACATAAATGTCATTGTAATATATCTAATTTGATTTTATAAAATGGTCATTTCTCTGAATCTTTTTGAATTCCACAGTGCTTTTAAAATAACCATAGTGTGCTTGTTATTACATCTGCAGAATGTCCTCAGGTTGAAGCTTGTCTCCAGTAGCACTAGGAGGATGGCTTTTGCTCTTGTTGTTGTTTATTGTAAGAGTTGTAAGAGCTCTTTTTATACTGAATATTAGACCGTTATCAGATATGTGATTTGGAAATATTTTCTTCCATCCTGTGGATAGTCTTTTCACTGTCTTGCTAATGTCCTTTGATGCATACATTTTTAATTTTGATGAAGTCTATTTTGTCTATATTTTCATTGGCTGTTTGTGCTTTTGTTGTCATATCTAAGAAACTAATGACTATTCCAAAATTAAAAAGATTTACACCTATGATGTCTTCCAGGAATTGTATAATTTAAGCTTGTATACTTACATGTATGATGCATTTTGTGTTAGTTTTTGTGTACGGTGTGAGGTAACAGTACAGCTTTATTCTTTTGGATATGGGTATTCAGTTGTTCCCACACCATATACTGAAAAGACTATTCTGTTCACCACTGAATTGTCTTGGCACCCTGTTGAAAATGAATTGACCATAGCTGGAAGGGTTTATTTCTGTCCTCTCAGTTCCGTTCTGTTGATCTGCATCTCTACCAGTACCTCACTGTTTTGACTACTTAGCTTTGTAGTGAATTTTGAATTAGGAGAATGTATGGTCTATCCTGGAGAATGTTCCATGTGTAATTGAGAAGAATGTGTATTTCACCCTTACTGGGTAGAGTGTTCTATAGATGTCTGTTAGATATAATTAGTTTGTATTGTTCAAATCTTCTATTTCTTTTTTGATCTTTTTTTGTAGGTGTTCTTTTTATTATTTAAAGTGTGATGTTTAAGTTCCCAGCTATTATTGTTGGATTATCTCTTTCTTCCTGTAATTTTGTCAGTTTTTGCTTCAGTTCTTTTGAGCTCTGTTGTTATATACATGTATATATATGCATACATTTTTATAATTATCATCTTGATTGACTCTTTTATCCTTATAAGTAAATGTGATTTTACTCTGGTAACAATTCTTGTCTTAAAGTCTATTTTGTCTGATATTAGTGCAGCTATGGTAGTTCTCTTGATATGTATTTCCATGGTGTACCTTCCTCTATCCTTTTTCTTTCAATGTATTTTTATCTTTGAATCTAAAGTGTATCTCTTGTAGACAGCATGTGGTTGGATCTCTTTTATTTATTTGTTTATTTTAAAGATTTTATTTATTTATTTGACAGAGAGAGACACAGAGAGGGAACAAAAGCAGGGGGAGTGGGAGAGGGAGAAGCAGGCCTCCAGCCAAGCAGGGAGTCTGATGCGGGGCTTGATCCCAGGACCCCGGGATCATGACCTGAGCCAAAGGCAGATGCTTAATGACTGAGCCACCCAGGTTCCCTGGTTGGATCTCTTTTAAACATGATGCCAATTTCTGTTTTTTTTTTTTTTTTTTAATTCCATTTTATTTAGTCCATTTACATTTAGTGTAATTACTGATAAGGTAGGATTTATATCTGCCATTTTGCTATGTTTTCCCTCTGTCTTAAGTCTTTTTTGTACCTTACTATCTCCTTTTGTTGTTAGATATTTTTAATTGCATCACTTTAACTGCACTGTCATTTTTTTCTTAAAGATTTTATTGATTTACTTTTAGAGAAAGTGCGCATGCATGTGAGTCAGATGCTCAAACAACTGAGCCACCCAGGCACCTCTCTTTTCTTGTTTTTTGTTTGTTTGTTTTTTATTAGTCTGCCCTAGAGATTGCAGTTTACTTTTTAACTTATGTCAGTCTTTTTCAAAATTACATCAGCTTAATTTTAACAGTAAACAAAAACTTTGCTCCTTCTTTAGCTCTGTCCTTACCTGATCACTTTTGTGTTGTTTATGTCATATAAGTTGCAGCTTCATACATTGTGTGCCCATCAACACAGAATTGCAATTAGTTCTTCATGCAGTTGTTTTTTAAATCAAACGAGGAAAAAGGAATTACAACAAAAACACGTTTATAGTTTTGTCTTTCCCTAAGTAGCTACCTGTATTAGTGTTATTTTTTCATGTGGATTCAAGTTACTTTTTAATGACCTTTCACTTTACTTTAAGGACTCCTTTTAACATTTCGTGTAGAACTTATCTGCTATTGATGAATTCTCTGTTTTTGTTTACCCAAGAATACATTAATACTTCCATTTTTGAAGGATAGCTTCGCTGGTTATATAATTCTTAGTTGACAGTCTTTTTCTTTTAGTACTTAGAATGTGGAATCCCATCGTCTTCTGGCCTCCGTGGTCTTTCTTGAGAAATCAGTTCTTGCTCTTATTGAGAATCTCTTTCACATGATCAGCAGCTTCTCTCTTGCTGCTTTAAGATCCTCTCTTTGTCTTTGTATTTCAACATTTTGATGATGATGTACCTAGGTGTGGGTCTCTTTGAGCTTACCCTACTTTGAATTTTTTGAGCCTCTTGGATGGTAGATTAAAGTTTTTCATCAAATTTGGGAAGTTTTTAGCCATTATTTTTCTATATAATCTTTTTGCTCCTTACTTTCCTCTCCTCTGGGTATCACATTATGCATATGTTCATGTTTGATGGTGTCCCACAGGTCTCTGAGACCCTGTTCATTTTTCCTTATCTTTTTGTATCTTCTTCCTCAAACTGGATAATCTCAATTGATCTACCTTCAGGTTCACTTATTCTCTCTTCTGCCTAGTTATATCTGCTGTTGAACTTCTCTGGTGAATTTTTCATTTCACTTACACTTTACAACTCAAAAATTTATTTGGATTCATTATTGTTTTCTATAGCTATATTAATATTCTCTATTTGGTGAGGCATTGTTCTCATACTTCAGTTCTTCAGACACAGAGTATCCTTTAGTTTCTTGAATATATTTCAAATAACTTATTTAAAGTTTTGTCTAGTAAGTCTAGTGTCTGATCTTCCTCAGGGTCAGTTTGTTGATTACTTTTTTCTTATGTATGAACCATACTTTCATGTTTCTTTGCATATCACCTAATTTCTTTTTAAAACTAGAAATTTAGGGGTGTCTGGATGGCTCAGTCGGTTAAGTGTCTGCCTTCGGCCCAGGTCATGATCCCAGGGTGCTGGGATCAAGTCCCGCATTGGGCTCCCTGCTCAGTGGAGAGTCTGCTTCTGTCTCTCTTGCTATCTCTCTCTTAAATAAATAAATAAAATCTTTAAACAATAAAACTAGAGATTTAACTTAATGTATCAACTGTGGAAATTAAATGCTCCTTCCTTCCAGTATTTTTTTGTTTTCCTTTTTTATTTAGTGACTTTTGCAAACTAATATTGTAAACTTTATTATGTGTTGTCACTGAAGTGTCTCCTGTTACCTTAGTGGTCAGCTAATGATTAGAGATTTTATTGAGTGCTTGGAAACTGAGTCCCTAGCATGTTGGAACAAGTCATTAAGACTCAGTCAGTTGGTTTACAACTCACTCTTTCCTTGGCCTTGCCTTTCCTTCTTGTGCTGAACCTGCAGGTCATCCTGAGGAGAGAGCTTAGGGTCTTCCCAGGGCTTTCCTGGGTTTCTGCATGGTACTGTGCAGGTGTGTAGCCTTCTAGATTCCCAGGAGTGTGTCAGAGCTATTCAAAGGGCAAGTGGATATCTCATCCTCCCACTTCTCTTGCTGGCTTTTGGTTAGACTGTTACTTGCTCCATCACCTCAAGCAACTAAAATCTTATGTAATTGCCTCTAATTATTTTCTTTGAATACCCCCAGGGAAAAGGCATTTTGTACTGGATGAGCTCCAAGTCAGGTCAAATAAAATCCTCTGGGAATGAGGTTTTGAAAGAACTCCACCCTTTTCCGCTTCCTCCAGTGGCCCCCAGACTGCTGGTGTCCACTGTGGTTACAGCTGTTGGTTTTCAAGGCTCCTGCAGAGCTGGGAGTGGTCCTATTGGAAAAGGACGCATTAAAACATCACAGAGCTCGCTGGTTACAGCTGTTGGTTTTCAAGGCTCCTGCAGAGCTGGGAGTGGTCCTATTGGAAAAGGACGCATTAAAACATCACAGAGCTCACTGCTTGTACCAAGATTCAGCCAAGTTTTTAAAAATAAATGCTCCTTAGATCTCTGCAAAACTTTTGTTAATTTTTAGACTTTTGAAAATGTTGATTCTGACAATTTCTGCCAGTTTCTTGTTGCTTTTGTAGAGAAAATATTTGGAGGTTCTTACTCATCACTTTCACTGATGTCACTCTTACATTTTTCTTTACACGATACCTAGATACATATTTAAATGTTAGCTGAATTCATAAAGAGTCACTAAAAGCAGAGTGGTTCTTTTTTCCCAGAAACTTTTCTGACCTTTTTGTACTTCTCCTGTTTTATTTTAGGACTATGATGATGGATATGGCACTGCTTATGATGAACAGAGTTACGATTCCTATGATAACAGCTATAGCGCCCCTGCCCAAAGGTAAGAGTCGATCTCTGATTACACCCCAGTAACAGACACCTTTGCCTGTCCACATATATACACTCTGGGAAGCGGGGATGATCAGACAGTGAGGGTACTGTGACTTCGCTTGCTCTGTTTCTTGTTTGTTTTAGTTGGAGACGCACGCTCTGTTCTACCAACTAGCATGTATTGCTCCTCCCATTTTTATCGTAGTGTTAAAGCAATGAGGCTTGAAAAATATAAATTGAATTTTTTTTTTTTTACTCTAAAAATTTCACTCAGTGTTCAATACATTCTGAGGAGGAACAGTGTCTACAAAGTCTGTGGTTATGCAAGTCTTAAGGCTTAGAATCACATCAGCAATGTGTGAATATCCTACATTGTCAGTGCCTGAGGTGGAAAGCCCCCAGGAGTTTTGTTTGGCATTCAGATAACGTTTCTGTTTCTTAGCAGCAGTGATCCTTTTTTCTAACAACTTCAAATTCCTATTTGTGAATAATGAGGTAGCTCTAATTCATTTTCTAAAGAGGTATTTACCCAGAAATAAGTAAGTGCTATCAGAGGCAAAACAGAGCTTTATAGTTCCCTCTTGTGATAATATACCTTGATGTTCATTGATATATGAAATCAGTGTTTATTCCTGTTCAGAATGTTTTCTTAAATGCCTAGAAACCTCTTGCTTTATGTTTAAAATTCTAAGTGGAGGACAAAGATAGACATGTATACAAAACAACATTTTGCTTTACGAAGCATACAGAAATCAGGACCGGGTGGTGGTTTTGATGAACTCCTACAGTGCCGGGCAGCTTTGAACAAGTAGCTGCTGTTACTCCTGAGCTCTGGTACTGAGGTTGACACGGATATAAAGTTCTTCTTCTTCTTTTTGGCTCATGTCAGATTTTTTTCTCATATAACTTGTAACAGTTAAGAACCTTCAAACTTGGACTCTGACTGGTCTTTCTGAGTGGGAGCCTGGTGTACTCCTGTCCTTGAGAGTGTTGGCACAGCCTAGGGGACTAGCACTGGTGGGTGCTAGCCAAGACTTTACGTACAGTAGTATCTCGTGTAAGGGTCCCAGCAGCTGCATCAAGTGTGTGGAACCGTTCCCACTGTAGGGACGAAGGACTGAGTAATGTGCCCGAACTCCCAGGTGGCTTGGAGCATAAGTGGTGTCTGGAGCTGCACTTGATCTGTAGAGCTGGGAGGTGAACTGCACGGGAGGGAGATGAGATGGGAGGCCGCACACTCCCTGCGGGGTGCTGAGGCTTGGGATCCCCGAAGAGTTACACGCCAGGGATTGTGCGTTTCGACTTGGATTCAGAGTGTCATTCCAAGGCAGTGGAGGGGCTTGACTGACAGGTGGTGAGCCTAGAGGCAGAGACCAGTTAGGAGGCCGGTACATTATAAGGCCTTTAAATGTCAGGGAAGACTCACTTAAAGAGACATCTTGCCTGACAGCCAGTCCGCTTCTTTGAAGTGATCTTTTCAGTGTTGCAACTCATCACACCTGAAGGAGGACAGAGAATTGTATGAGAATTGCCCACATTGACAAGTGTAGAAGCCACTCTTTGTTAGGTATTCTGAGTATTCATTTAATCTTCATGACCTGTGACATAAACATCAGTCCTTTTACAGAAGAAGGGAACTCTGATTTCCAGGAATGAGGGAACTTGCCTGGGATCACGCAGCTTACAAGGAGAGGAGCAGGCTTTGCACCAGGGTCCGTGGCCTCACGCGTCCAGGAGGGGCTGCTCGACTGTAAACCCAAGGGAAGCAGCTGTACCGTGGGGTAGGATAGAGATGGTTTTGTGCACTGTATGAGTTTGCTAGAGTCACTGTAACAAATAACCACAGTCCAGGTGGCTTAAGCAACAAAACTTTATTTCCTCACAGTTAAGAGAAGCCAGAAGTCCAAGGTCCAGGTGTTGGGGGATTTGGTGTTTTCCGAGGCTTCTTCCCTTGGCACACACCTCCTCACTGTGGCCTCGCATGCTCTTCCTCCTGTGCACGTGCATCCCTGATGTGTACGTGTGTGTCCCCTTTTTTCCTCTTCTGATGGTACCAGTCACATTGGATCAGGACCTCTTTGAGGGCCCTGTCTCCAACTCCAGTGCCATTCGGAGGTACTGGGGGTGGGGTCTTCAACATATGCTTCAAGCAGGGGACACGATCCAGCCCGTAACAGGCACATATCATAACACTGGTTTAACCACAACACTCTGTGTCTCAGAATTAGAATAGCAAACTTGCAAATCCTCCCCAGGATCGGATAGTGAGTATTAACAAGGAAATCACCACCACCACCGTCTTCAGCTTCTTGTTCGTTTACCCTGTGCCTGGTCCTCTCTGTCCTCTCTCCCCTCTCAGCACACCCTAAATATTGCAGAATTCAAGTCTAAACAGGCCATCCCCTTACATACAGGTTCAGAGAGATGAAGTGGCTTATCTACACTCAACAGGCTGAGTGGTGATCCAGACCCAGCTTGGCCCCACGGCATCCTCTTTGTCCTTTGTCCCATTGCCTCTCTATTCTCCTCTCGTCATGGCTTTGATTTCAGTGGCTGGAATGAATTCCTGTTAGTATTGCCCATATACAGTATTCAATAATAAATAATAAAAGCATTCACTGCCACTACTTTCAAGGAGCATACAGCCTTAATATTCACTAATAGATAATACCATGTAACACTCAATGATCTGTAGTCTACAATTCCTTGATTCTGACACTTCACATACTGTAAAAATAATTTCGTACTTCAATAATTTTCTCAATCAGAATTTGAAAGCCCATTCTGTGCCATAGTTGTAAGGTTCAGTATAACTGCAGATTTTTTTACCTGGTCTGCTTTGAGATGACAGAGCTATTCTGAAAATGTCCTTTGAGACATCATGGTGAGTCACCTGCTCTGTCCAGCATGGTAGCCAGTAGCTCATGTGGCTGTTGAACCTTGAAATGTGGCCAGTGCAGATTGGGATGCGCTGGAAGCATAGGACACACACCAGAGTCCTAAACGTAGCATGAAATAAAGAATACAAAATAGGGGCGCCTGGGTGGCTGAGTTGTTAAGCGCCTGCCTTCGGCTCAGGTCATGATCCCGGGGTCCTGGGATCGAGCCCCGCATCCGGCTCCCTGCTCAGCAGGAAGCCTGGTTCTCCCTCTCCCACTCCCCCTGCTTGTGTTTGCTCTCTCGCTGTGTCTCTCTCTGCCAAATAAATAAATAAATAAATAAATAAATAAATAAATAAATAAATAAAAGAAAGAATACAAAATAAATACATTATTAAAATTAATTTTACCCATTTCTTTTTCTTTTCTTCTTTTTTTTAATGTGACTACTAGAGAAATTCAAATTACAAATTTCTCTTGGATAACGAAGAGTTAAAGACTCTGGTTCATGGGCGCCTGGGTGGCTCAGTTGGTTAAGCAACTGCCTTCGGCTCAGGCCATGATCCTGGAGTCCCTGGATCGAGTCCCACATCGGGCTCCCTGCTCAGCAGGGAGTCTGCTTCTCCCTCTGACCCTTCCCCCTCTCATGTGCTCTCTCTCATTCTCTCTCTCAAATAAATAAAATCTTAAAAAAAAAAAAAAAAAGACTCTGGTTCACTCTCTCTCTGGCACAACAGGCACGTTGTAGTGTCTCCAGATTGGGGCCCACACGTTGGGGGAAGCAAGTCAACTCACCAGGTGCAGAAAGAAAATGAGAGAGGGTCAACTCCTGTCCATCCTTTTAAAATTTCTATTTTGATGTTTTGCGTTATGTGTAAATCTAACTTACTAATGCTCTAATGCACATGTTACCCAAAAGCAATTACAATTACAAGATTAAAAGTGGTTTTCTTTCTGATACAGATGTGTTGTAAAAAACTTTTGTTGGAGATCTGGGCCATAATGGTTAAGAGTCTGGCTGACCTGTATTTAGACCCCACTTCAGTATTTGCTGGCTATATGGCTTTGGGCAAGTTACTTGACCTCTCTAAGCCTCAGCTTGTAATGTGTATAATAACTCTGTTTCTTCTGTAGATGGTCAGCCTGAAAGTTGAATGAGGCAGGAAATCCCACGGTCTGTGGGAATTGTTGGGGGGTAGGGAGAAGGCATGTCATCCACAGTGTCTTTTCTGTGCGAGAGTGAATGAGGTAATCTGTGTAAGGCAGTTAAGGCAGGGTGTAAGGCAGTTAGCACATTGTGCTGAGTAAATTCTAGCTCCTGCCCTCCTTCCCCAGTTCTGAATTATTCTGCATCTCATTTCACATAGGGAAGCTAAGAGAAAATCCAGAAGGGTTGTGTGAATAAATGCTTTACAGGGAAAATGAGAAGAGGGAGGGGACCTTGTGGAGGCTACTCCCCCCTGGGATGGTCAGTATCAGTATTTAACATAAACTGGGATTAGCAAACTGAGCAGCTGTAACCCACTTGAAAACAGAGCAGGACAGCAGGCTCACGTGGCTGGTCATTGGGTATCGTTACCCGCTGTGCAAAAGGGTCCCTTTTGGTAATGACGTTTAAACTTTATAAGCGGTAATCATTTTATGATATGACACTGTTTTGTTGCAGAAACAGCAGTTTCTCTCAGGAGGTTTTACAAATTAGGAATTTTTTCTCCCGATTTTCAAATACCTTGTATTAAAATTAGAGTACAAATGAGAATCCCTGCAGAGTGATAGAAAATTCAGTATAGTTCAGCTACATTTCCCCATTGATTTTTGTAATGACCTTGATAGTGCTAATACTATAGTGTAAAACAAAAGCATTGTTTCTCTAACTTCACACATTTAATGAGTAACAAGCTGTCAACACAATTACTGTGAAGAGAAATATGAACTATTCTTTATAATATTGGAATTGTTCTGACATAGATTGGCTCAAAAATAGTTATTGATTGATTTCTTTAGACACCCCTCCTGAATAGCAGTGATGAATAAAAAGAGCAGGTGATAAATGGCCTCAGCCCTCAGACACCTGCCCCTCCCTTGACATGACTTGAGACTTCACAAAAGTCCTAATTTCGACTCTCAGAAACCACTTGTAAATATATCCATTTCATTCTAGATTAAACAATTCATTCTTTATTGGATGTTTTATTTATAATCCTAAAATAGTTGCAGTTGTATAACACGATGCCCATAGTATTTAATAACACTGTACTGAATTTGGGAAGTTTGCCGGGAGAGTAGATTGCAGGTGCTCTTACACACAAGAAGGTAACTATGTGAGGAGAAAATATGTTAAGAGCTTTAATGTAATAATCATCTTGCTGTATATTTGTAAATCAAGTCATCACGTTTACAACCTTTTATATAATTTTTATTAAAAATACCACAATATCAGTTTGTGTGCCTAGTAATTGTAAATTCTCAAAGGAATATTTGATTCCTATTGTGATCATAAAGAAAGTAGAACAAAAAGGGTATCAGAAAAGTGTTAATACCAGTGATGGGTATTAAGGAGGGCACGTACTGCATGGAGCACTGGGTGTTATACGAAAACAATGGGTGGTGGATCACTACATCAAAAACTAATGATGTATTGTATGGTGACTAACATAACATAATAAAATTAAAAAAAAAAAAAAAGTGTTAATACCCCTGAGCATAAGTGGATGGCTGTGTGGTAAGAATAGTGAGTTTCTGGATGCGTTTAATACAACATTCCAGTTTCCAAGAGCTTTGTGGTTTGACCATACTTTAAAGTACATATTTCATCCCATCCTCCAAAATCTCTGAAAGCACTTAAAATTTCTGAAAAAAGGAATTAGGAATAATAGCTCCCAGTTTTGGAGGATCTGTTGAGTCTAGCACTCAGCATTTATGTTCTTTATATGCAGTATCTCCGATTTTTACAGTGGCCCTACATGGTGAGTGTCCCACGCACAGAAGTTGAGGATAGCAGTGTTTAGCAACTTTCCCAAGAATACACAGCTGAGAAGTACTGGAGCATAGGTTTTTGTCTGATGCCAAGAACCATTACCCAGCTAAGAAAATTTTTTTTTTAATGTAAAATCATATTGACTTGTTTTTGTAAAACAACACCTAAGCCCCTTTATCCAGATAGGCAGGGTGACAGAAGCTGCCAGAAGCTATGAGTACTCTTGGTTTGTTTTCAAATACCAATTCCAAGGAAAGCAACGAGACAAAAACTGACGTTGCCATGTGCCTGCCGCCTACTTGCTATCGCTTCTGCTGGCAGCTTTAGGATTATATGTCCAGCAACGCCTTCTCAAGAGCCAACTATGGAGGTCGGAAAAGGATTTGGAGTTTTCACTTTGGAAATGATGACCTGTTGTTTAACTTAAGTTGTAACCGTTTAAAATCAGTAAAACTGTTTTTCAGGAGATAATCGCCATGTGTGTGGTGTCACGGTTGCTTGTCTCGGACTTGTAAAAGCAGTAATGGTTTGGCGTGGATTAAGAGTTTGTTAACTTGCCTTGTAAAATTTCTGTCAAGTCTCCTTCCACCTAGCCTGCTCCTTGGAGTTGTCTGCCTGCTGCGTAACTACTGACCATGCCTCTTGGCAGAAACTAAGCCGTGTAAGCTGTTGACAAACAAATACATCCAGCCTGTATTACGTAGATGTTGGTGAAAAGCAGAGATACCAGCCCAGATTATACAGTAAACCCATAAAGTCCTTAATTCTCAGCCAACGACTCTGTAGTAAGAAAGAAAGGAAGGAGGGCTATCGTGAAAACGTGAAGCCAGCACCTAGAAGGGAAAAGGGAAGGAAGGACACGCTCAAGTGTTGGCAGGAGTGAGAATTGCACTGATGACCATCATTACGCGCTGACCACCCACCACGGAGTATTGATTATACCCCGATAGATACGTGTGTGTGTGTGTGTGTGTGTGTGATGTCTGTCTCTGATATGAACTTTAACCTTAACAGGTGGAAATGATCATCCCCATTTTATTCTTGAGAACACTGAGACCCAGAGAAAGATTAAATAATTGGTCCATGCTACCCACTTGATGACTGTTGATTTCAGTCCATTTTCTTTTTATTATAGGAGTGTTTTTCCAAGGGTAGTACACATACCACTGATGTTCACAACATGATTTCAGATGGCACACAGGCAGACCTTTTTTTACAGTTGTAATGATAGATTTTAAAGTTACTGGGAAAATATACTTAGCATGTCAAGCACATGATTTTATGAATATTGCTGTAATTTAATTATGATACATTGAGGTGAAAACAAAGTCAATACAAAGAGTAATGTTAAGTCACTGGTAGGATGAGTGGGCACATGGGTGACAGAAGTCCTGCCAGCCATCCAGGAGGGACTCTAGTGTGGCCAGCACCGCACTCTGCGTTTGTTTACTGGGTAATGGCCCACTGGGGTGTGCCACTGCTGAGAAAGGAGGGGCGGTCAGTGAACCAGAGCCATGATCGGGCCTCCCTTGGGGTTACTACCTCGATAGCCTGACTCTATTGAAAGCAAGCCAAGAAGTTTTATAGCTCCAGCAGGAAATTCCTTAGGATTAAATTAGTAAAAAATAAAGGAAAATTTTCCAGATTCATTAAGTTAGCACACTTTGAAGAAATCAAGTATCAATTGAGTACTTAGGAAGTGGTCATTACTATATCAGGTGCTCTTATGCCTGCCATTTCGTTTTATCCCCAAGAACCTCTGTAAGATCGTTACAGGCCTTACTTTTATGAATAAGGAAGCTGATGCTCGGAGAATGTGAGCCTGACCAAAGTCACGTAGCTGACAAGTCAGGCCTCATACCCAACTCTCTTAAAGCTCAAGCCCCTGTTCTTCTGCTCACCTCGGAGGCAACAAGTAAAAAAACCTGTCCCTGTGCATGTGGAGAGTACCCACCTCCTGTACTGACCATGTGGAATCTTCATGCGTGATCTTGACGAGTACACGGGAACACAGGACTGGGGCAGGCGCAGGCTAGTGGTAATAAATCAGTTGCCACTGTCAGTTCAGTCTTTCATGTTCTTGAGAATACACGAGATTTATCACTGAGGAATTGCAGAATAATGGCAGTGTGTGAAAACAAAGTCCACCAGGGAGATGTACTACATCATTTGGATTTAGCGCTGCCATCTGCTTAATAGTGTTGAGAAGACTAAAGCGGTGCTTATGATCAGCCATTCAGAGCAGCGACAGATGCTGCAGAGCACACGGGGAAATGTAGAGGATGCGACAGGGTTTCCAGAAAGTTGGGGTGTTGCTTATCAAACCCCAATTTTAAGCCTTCACTATAAAATTTTAAGGTCTGTTAGATAAAGCAATCCACTCTGACTCTCCCCATGTTTCCTTTCGTCATGTTTCACACATCCTTAAAATGTATTTTTGTTGATTTTTAGAAGAATTTTCCTGACAAATCCTGTATAGATTTAAATTATGATGTGATTTAGTTTAAAAGACTGTGGGCTATAAAACCAGACACACCTGGATTTGAACCCCAGCTCCATCACATCCTTAGCTGCGTGATTTTGGCCACGTTATTCAGCTTGTTCCAGCCTGTTCTCATCTGTGAAATGATGACAATATCTGACTTACAGACTGTAGTTAGATGGAATGGCAGCTGCGATGTAAAGAGCAAAAGTTCAGTCAGCTCACTAACGTCAGACACGCTGAGCACCACACAGCCTTATGGCAAGAGGGTACAGTTATTATCCCATTTTATAGATGAGGAAATTGAGTCACAGGCTTTGTGGGACATGGAAAGTAAGTGCTGGAGCTGGCGTGTGAGGCCAGACGGTCTGAGCACTCTGCTCTCCTGCCTCTCTGTGCACCTGTGGTTGTTCGGAGTGTAGTCACTGCATCTAGAAACTGGTACAGTCTTTTTCTGAGGAAGACTCCTGTCAGTAAAATCCCAGCAAATAAACAATCTGAATAAAATTATATATATATATATATATATATATATATATATATATATATATGATTCCCCATTTGTGAAATAGGTATTGAAGGCTTCATTTAATTTAGATTGTTTAGAATCGTAACATGTTTGGAAGCACAGACTTGAGGTCAAAGCTTGAAGTTACTTGTGAAGAATGATTTATAATAGAGAACGTCAGGGTGCTTGAATTTCTCAGAATCTAGTCAAACCTCATTTACTGGACTCATGACTTTAGCAGCTGAAATAATTCAGACCTGGTATAGATTGTATTTTCCGCCTCTATTTGTCATCATGAAGGGATATGTTCCTTTTGGAAAGTAATTTACAAGTGTTCATCAGGAACCTCAGAAGTGCTTGCAATCTTTGACTCAATATTTGCACAGTACATGCCTGAACTTACTATACAGTGAGTGTCTGACAGTGTAAGTAAGTATGTTTAACAGCTCTTTAAAAGGGGCACCTGGGTGGCTCAGTTGGTTAAGCGACTGCCTTCGGCTCAGGTCATGATCCTGGAGACCCGGGATCGAGTCCCGCATCGGGCTCCCTGCTCGGCAGGGGAGTCTGCCTCTCCCTCTGACCCTCCCCCGCTCTCATGCTCTCTCTCTCTCTCTGTCATTCTCTCTCTCTTAAATAAATAAATAACAAATTAAAAAAAAAAAAGCTCTTTAGAAAGAATAAACAATTTTGGCAAAATTCAGGGAAAGAGATACGACATTTTAGATATGGGAAAGAAACCTATCTGTATCACCTTGGCCAAAGTAACAGAGCTAAAGCAGCGCCTTACTGAAGGCCGAGTCAGGCCTTGGTCAGTGAGGGTGGAGGGCCAGTCTCCTGGATTTGAATCACGGCTTGGCACTGGCCAGCCGTGCAGCTGAGGTCCCGTTACTGAACCTGCCCTTCAGGTTCCGCATCTGGAAACCACGGGTGATGATAACAGTAAGCACCTCATAGGATTGTTGCGAAGTTAAATGAGTTAATATACAGAAAGCTCTTTGAACAGTTCTGGCACATTGTAAATGTTGTCATTAGCCATCATTACTGTAATTATCTAAAATCCTTGGGGCTAAGAGTCTTAGATTCAGAATTTTTGAATTTGGGAAGACAGTATGGTTACATACCGTATGTTATACAACTCCAGTAGGTCTGCTTGTGCTTCCCCGGCATAGTGACTACCCCTTGGATTATTTGAAGTTTATGATCAAGGAAAATGTGATTACAGAGAGATGAGAAGCATGTATGGCAATTGAAAAGGAGATTTCTGAGGAGGGGCATGATGTTCAGCCTTGGCAATTTGTGATCTTACCAATAGAACAATATTGTTAGTGCTAGCAATTAATTTTTAAACAGGATGGACTAAAGGATTGGGAGAGGACCTTCCCGTCCAGTAGGAGCCATTATGGCAGCCAGGTCACTCTTGATTTTGATTTTTGTCTGTAGCCTCACGTTGGGTCACCCACAGATGGTCTAACCTTATATTGAATTGTGAGTAATTCGCTCGATTACTCATGAAGTAGATGTCAAAGCGTAGTATGAGAGTATATTTAATTCCTTCGTGGCTCCTTCCATTATTTCTTCACACATACCTTTTAAAGGCATTGTGGTTATATATTTCTGTGAAAATTACACATGCATGTTTCTTTTTTAGACTTTTCCAAGATGGCACAAACAGGATGATTTGCTTTTCTTTACATCTTCTTCCTTGACAAATTGCTTGCAGTGGAGCGGCAGTTCCCTGAATCAGTGGTTTTGCCATCCAGCAATCTTCCCCGACCCGCTCCTCACGGCACGTTCCCTTCCTTCCATGTGCTGTCAGGCACTGAGCTGGTCTTCTGTGTTTTCAAAATACTCTCATCGCCTCCATTCTCTAGTAGTACCTACTAGACTACTGAGACTCTGTCTCTTTTTTTTACAGAGAGCCTCTCAGTAGCAGGGACCCTTTGTTTTCGTCTTTCTGTCCCATATCTCGTGGTCAGAGAAGTGATCTATCTGTGGTTTTCAGTTAAATGGATAACACTTAAGTCTATATCTGTTTTAAAAGTTTCTTTCCTGGAAACACAGTAGAAAGTCTGATCGCATCGGAAGTCTCCTGTGAAAATGCATGTTGTCTGCACTCTGGCTGTGTAGAAATATCACTGATACAGCCTTAAAAAATAACACGAAGCAGGTGCCCAAACCAATCTTCTGTTTATTATTTTTAATCTGGATTTTGGTGTAGCACAGCTATCTTAAAGTTTTTAAACTCTACAGATAATTTCGTTGGGCAGCCAACATTGAGAGCTATCCTTGACTAGCAAGCATTCTATAATGAGGTGTTGTATATAAAGCACTTTTCGCAGTGCCTAGCAGATGTTGCTAAGTAAATGTTTCCCGAAGAAATGCAGTATTGGAATTTCTGTAATGGCTTCCATTCATTTGTTCAGCAAACAACTATTGAGTACCTACCGTGTTCCTAGAACTATCCCGGGTGCTTGATAAGTATCCATGAACAAAAAAAGGTAAAGATGGTGCCCTTGTAGACCTTAAATTCTAGTGCTACTCATGTTTACACATGGCAGTCATGCCCAGCTTCATGGAGGAGATGATCAAAGACTTGAAGGAGGTAACAGAGTTTGCCCGAGGGGCCATCTGTGGCAGCAGCAATCTGTGCAAAAGACCTCTGATGGGGTCTGTCCCGTGTCGTCTGGTATCTTTAAAGTCCGTCGGCTTCCATTCCAGTCTGTAATTTTAACTTTTTTAATAGGAAACTTCAAATTTCCCTTTGGAATAAAATATTTTTGAATAATTTGGAACAAAGTGTTTTAATTAACTGTCCAAGAATATGTTGTAATAATTCTTCCTGTCTGTTAGTCTCAGTATGATTGAAGGAGCTTGCGGACTTAAAACTATGAAGATACAGGAGACTGTTACCTTGGCCGGTGACAGCTTTGGTTTGCAGGATAATGGCTCTCAGAAATACCCACATCCTCGTCCCCAGGGCCTATGGTTATGTTACCCTACATGGCAGAAGGGACTTAGCAGATGTGATTAAGGATCTTGAGATGGGGAGATTATCCCTCATGATCATAATTGCAAATGCCTTTACCAAAATATATTAGCAAATCAAAAATCAGTTACCTTATCATGACCAAATAGAGTTTCTCTCAGCAATGCAAGATTTATATAATACATGAAAGTAAATCCATGTAATTCACCACATTAACTAAATGGAGAAGAATCATATGATCATTTCCATAAATGCAGGAAAAATGTTTGACAGAATTTAATGTATATATATATTTTTTAAAAGATTTTATTTATTTATTTGAGAGAGAGAGAATGAGAGACAGAGAGCACGAGAGGGAAGAGGGCAGAGGGCAGAGGGAGAAGCAGAGCCCCTGCTGAGCAGGGAGCCCGATGCGGGACTCGATCCCGGGACTCCAGGATCATGACCTGAGCCGAAGGCAGTCGCTTAACCAACTGAGCCACCCAGGTGCCCAGAATTTAATGTATATTGATGATTAATAATAAATAGAGGTCTGAGCAAACTGGAAGTAATGGGACAGTTTTCCCCTGCTTGACAGAAGACATCTGTGAGAACACACACACACACACACACACACATCCTTAAGCTAACATCATTCTTCACTGAAACATTCCATGCTTTCCTGCTAAGACGGGCGACAAAGCAGGTTTGCCCACACTCCGCTTGCACTCAGCGTTGTACTGAGAGGCCTGATCTGTGCAGGAAGGTGAGTGAAAAAGAACAATAGGCATACAGATTGAAAGTAAACGGTCTTTGGGGCGCCTGGGTGGCTCAGATGGTTAAGCGTCTGCCTTCGGCTCAGGTCATGATCCCAGGGTCCTGGGATCGAGTCCCGCATCGGGCTCCCTGCTCCTTGGGAGCCTGCTTCTCCCTCTGCCTTTCTCTCTCGCTCTGTCTCTCATGAATAAAAAAAAAAAAAAGAAAGAAAAAGAAAGTAAACGGTCTTTATTCACTGATAACATGATCAGGTAGTTGAAAATCCTAAGGG